TAAAAATGATAATGATATATCATATAATCAAAATGAGTTAATAGTAAAAGAAATTATTGAAGAATTTTGCCAATGTTTTCAAACAACACATCCATTTATGACTTGTACATCATCAATTCGAGTCTGTTTAAATCTATTATTTTAAGATTATTTTTAACGTTTTTCTTTTGTTTTAGTCTGCGTCATCAAGTGCTACATTGGCTGGTCACCATTTTCTTCACTCAACCGCTTATTTATGTGCTAAAAAAATAGTAGATTTACCTGTATCTATTGAAAATAAAGATGATTGTGATAGTTTATCAACTCGATTAACAACAACGACTTCTTCTTGTCTTTTACGGTTTGTATATTTTGAATAGATAGACTTTATTGATTATCTTCGTTTAGAAGTCCTGTAAGACTATCATCAATTGCAACTGATCAAACAACAGATGTATTTCTTGAAGACAACGAAATTAACTTTACCCGGGAATCAATATTTATTGGGCAATCGTACACTAAAGAAAAAAATCATGATCAGTTAAAACAAACATTATCAAATAAAAATCAATATCAAAAAATGTAAACAAATCAATTTATTATTTATTCTAATTTTCTTTTTTTCTTTTCATTTAGTAAATCACATCGATGTCTCGAATTATCAACAATTCATGAAACAAGTTTCGAATCTGATTCAATTGTAAATAATCAAACTGATGATTCAACAATTGCTGATAATAATCTTCAATTAGAATCAATTAAAAAACGACAACCATTACAAGAAATTGATATTAATTCATTTAATGATGAAGAACGTAAAATTGAAAACGAAAAAAATCGTTCTCAAAATTCAATAGTATTGACATTAGCGAGTGATAATGATCAAGAAAATTTACCAATAACAATAAAAAAACGGTCAATGACGTCAACAAAAATTGAGCCACCTAACAAAAGACAAAAGAAAACAAATGTAAAAATACCCGTAACTGGACAACAAATGATTACTAGTTTTTTTCAATCGATAAATTAATTTATCGAAATAGAATTATTTTCTTTCTATTCTATTATCTAATTTTCCTATTTTTTGTTACTGTTAAATATTATATATTTGAAAATGTCAGATATACATTTAGATAAGTTAAATGATATTACTCTGTTAAATATGTTTGATATTATCTATATATATGTATAGAATTAGGCAATTTATATTTGATTCGTACTTATTTTTTTAAAAGAAATTTTTTTTTCTTTATTATTGTTCTCTTTCCTTTCTTTGTATTTCAAGTTCTGTCAACAAGTATGAAGGTTATTTTTTGATACGTTAAAAAAAAACAAATTAAAAGTTAACATTTGTAAAATAGAAAAACAAATATTGTTGATCAAGCTTAATCTCTATTTTTCAAGTATTTCATAAAGATTTCCACGTTTCATTGTCAGAACACTAACGAAGGAATCTGTACCAATGATAAAGAGCTTATGAGCTCAAGATGTGTTCACAAGTAGGATATGTATGCAATAGAAAAAGTTCAGTAAATCAAAGCTAACAGTTTTATACTGATATCTTGCAGATAATATTCTGAATTCAAAAGCATATTATTCACGGAAAAAGTTTCTTAGTAAGATGAGAATTTTCTTTCCATAAAATATTACCCATATATGACATTTATCAATCATTTAGCTATTCAGATAAATCATGTATAATGAAATCAGGTAAGCAGTATTGTTACAATGAGAAAATGAGTTCATGTTTTCTTGTTAATCTAGCTTAATGGTTATCATAACAGATTTTTATTGATTTTCAACCAGACTGTTAGTCTAAACTTATTAAATAAAGAGTTATTGAGTAAATTTTTACATGGAGATTTTCAATCAATGAATTGGTATATATTGAAAGTCAGATAGTACGAAAAAAAATTTTTGTCCTCTCGATCCTTAGTGTAGTCCCGAGAAGAGAAAGACTGGCTGTACTAAAATCTATACTTTTATCGACTGCATTTCTGAACTTAACAAATTAGTAACCTGTATATATTCTAGATGTTATACAAGCGATATAATTCTAAACAACAAGTTGAACAAACCACAATAGTTAAGATAACTGAATATAAGGAGCCAGTCTAAATATCTATCAATTCATCTCTTTGTATCATGTTTAATTACCAAAAAAAAACTATATATCAAAGCTGACAATTATTTAGGAAAATCAAATGTACTACGCTTTTTGTTCGAATATGAGTGGTCATTGAAAAAGTGGCGCCATCATTCGCATTCACTCACATATCTGATTAAAAGATACTGTCAAATGCACGTTAATTAACATTGATTATACGACATTTTTCATATTATCATATTATTCTTGTTTAAACGTTCTTCAATTAGATGGATTTCTCTTTTTCAATTGGTCTATTTCTTTTGTGGTCTTTGTTGTAATCAGTCTGACTGACAATCGCAGGCTTTTCACACTTTCATTTTTGTTTGTTGTCTTTTTTGAATTGATTTGTATCCATACAAATAAATATCTTATTCCGTTTCAGAACGACTTGACAATATGCCTTCTCAGTTTAACATTGATGATTTTGAAAGACTGAGTAAAGTGGGAGAAGGTATATTTATGAATTTTTATTTTTACGAAAACTTCTTAACTATTGTTTATGTCAGGTACATATGGTATTGTATACAAAGTGTGTCATCGGCCAACATCACAAATATATGCATTAAAAAAAATTCGACTAGAAGGTGAAGATGATGGTGTACCAGCAACAGCGATTCGTGAAATATCAATTTTAAAAGAACTACGACATCAAAATATTGTTCAGTAAGATTCAACAAGAAAATAAACATTAGTTAGAAGAAGAATCTTTTTTTTGTTGTTTCAAGACTTCGTGATGTTATTCTTACGGATGCTCGTCTTTATTTGATATTTGAATATTTGGCAATGGATTTAAAGAAATACTTAGATTGCTTAGGTGAAAATGAGGATATGGACGTTGCATTGATTCAAGTAAGAATAGATAATGATATTAAATTATGAAATTTTTTTTTCTTTGTGCAGAGTTATATGTATCAAATAATCGATGCATTACTCTTTTGTCATTGTCGTCGAATAATTCATCGTGATTTAAAGTAAATATGAATTATAATTATACTATTGTCTAATGATTATTTTTGTTTTTAATTAGACCACAAAATCTTCTTGTTGATACGAAAGGTATTATTAAACTTGCTGATTTTGGTTTAGCACGAGCATTCAGTGTACCATTAAGAATTTATACACACGAAGTAAAATACAATAGAAAAGTTTTATGATTATAATTTAATCTAAATTATTTAGGTTGTTACATTGTGGTATCGAGCGCCTGAGGTATTGCTCGGTGCTTCACGTTATTCATGTCCAGGTATGAATAGAAAACATTTTTCTTTGTCTATTTATAAATCTCGACTTGTTTTTTGAAAATAGTTGATGTTTGGTCTGTTGGTTGTATTTTTGCTGAAATGTATACGAAACGTCCATTATTTCAAGGTGATTCGGAAATCGATCAACTCTTTCGTATTTTCCGGTAAAATTTTCTTTAAATATAGAAAAAGAATTTTTCATAGTTTATTTTAGAACACTTGGTACACCAACAGATGAAACATGGCCAGGTGTTGTATCATTACCGGAATTTAAATCTTCATTTCCACGATGGAAACAAATTAACGACTTATCGTCATTACTCAATGATCGAATGCGTGATGATGCACTTGATTTACTTCTCGTTCGTTAAAATTTTCATTCTTTATTATTCTATTATCGACTTCGGTTGTTTTCTTTAACTTTATAGAAAATGCTTGTGTATGATCCGGTACGACGTATATCGGCCAAACAATGTCTTAATCATGCCTATTTCAAACAATTCGATCCACAAAATTTTCCTGTACCGGCACCTGTCATTGTACCTGTTGTCAAAGAGGGAGCCAAGTAATATTAAATTCGTGTGTGCGTGTGCGTATGTACGTATTTGCTGATTGTTACGTCAGATATATACATATTTTTTCCTTTTCCTAATTGATATATGTTCTTATACTTCTCTAAAATCTTTCTCTCTTTTTCTTTTTCTATGTCTTCCATATATCGAAAAAATCGTACATTTAATTGTTGACTTATCTGTTCATTTTTTTTTCTTTGTCCCACTATCGATCACACATATACTTTTTTTTAATACGATGTGTGGACTAAACTATTCGTTCGCTTTTCTTCTCTTTTTTTTTTGTCACGCGTACGTATAACGTGAAAAAATAATGAATCTGTACAAAGAATGATAACATGAAAAAGTTTCACAGAAGAAATACATACGCATATATTATGATTATTTCATCTTTTTTTTATTTCTATATTGAATAATGAAATATGAATAATGAATAATGAAGAATTTTTCTTTTTTCTTTCTATTCCATATTTGAATAGAGCATAAACGTTTCTTGTACAGTTTAATGTGCACGCAAATAAGTATAAACACAATCTTGACGACATTCAAAAAGATATCCAGGAAAGTCACTAAATGATCGATAACCATATTGTTGAAGAATTGATAATTTTGAAAAACTTTCTCTCATACAATCAGATTGAGATAATGATTTATTTCGAAAACATAAGTCATTCATATTCATTAATGTTATTTTATTACATAGCCGTTCTGTGATACCATGTGCAAATCCCTAGAATAAATAAAAAATAATAAGCTATCGTTTTAAAAATCATCAGTTTATTCTATGTCAATAACTTACACATGCATAACATAGTTGATGCCGTTCACATATTGATTGAAATGATCCTTGAAAGAAAATATTGTCTTCCGATAACAGACAACCAACTTCTTTTACAGCGTATACTGGTATACAACTATCAATGTTCACTGAAGAAGGTGAGGAAGCTGTGGTTTTATTTGACATTGATTTTGGTGGTCCATGACCTATATAAATATTATAAGGCACTATGTCTTTAAGTTTTTATAAATATATCAAGTATATTATTTTGAATTTACCTATACTTTCTAAAGTTCGATCGTTAATATGATAACCATTAGTAAAAGAAATATTCATAAAGCACAGAACAACCATGATAACAAATATTTCAGGCATTTTATTTATATCCACAATTAGAGAGAAAAATAGTTCGAATAATGGTATTTATAATAACAGTAAAAAGAATAATATAAAATTCGTCGACAATCAATAAGTATTTCTTTCTTCTTGTCCTTATTTTTTTCACTTATTTTATTTATTTGTTATTTATAAGAAAAATCATCAAGAGAATTGAATAAATGTGCTCAACATTAGTGTCAAACAAACAATGAGATGACTCGGTACTAGGTATTCTCTAGGACATCTATCTTCCATAATATGCTTTTTATATTAATAAACTTCAAAGAAAAAGAATTTAATTGATAGCATAGAATGAACAAAATAATGGAACAAATGTTCTTTGAGTACTACAAAAAAGACAATTGAGCACCAAATTAATTATATATGAAAAGAGCACCAAAAAATAAGACAATTGAGCACCGAAAAAATTATATGTGAAATGAGCATCAAACAATGAGACAATTGAGCATCAAATGAAAAAATAATATAAAAGTTACCAATCTATTGTTGAAATTGAACAAGTCAACGTGAAGATGTAATTTGAGAATAGCTATATCAGAATTTATAGGCTTTTTTCTTTTTTCAGTAACGAGTAAAGGAAAAAGCGAATAATACAAATAGTAATATAATTTTATTTATTATAATTTTTATTTTTTGTTTTTTCAGGATACGCGATAATAAAAGAAATAGAACGAAAACTGAAAGCAATGAGAAAAAAAGATAGATAGGAATAGAAGTGTTCATGACGCGAGGTCTTTCGAATTCTATCTTTGTCAAGTGACTAACTATGATAAAAAGTTAAAAATTAAAATAAAATTGTATTGCAATTTATATATTTTACTTTTACTTTGTTTTTTATTGAAAAAAGAAAAAAATCTATAAATTCTGGCATAGCTATTCTGAAATTAGACCTTTATGTTGACTTATTCATTTAAAGAATAACGGTCTTAATTAACTAATAAAACGTGTTCGGCACTTGTGTGTAAATGACGAGGAAAATGTAGACAAAAAAAAGCTCGATCTGCTTTATTAATATGAATTGTTTGCTCTTCATTATATTTATATTTATTTATTTGTTTGTTCTTGTATTTATTATCTATCTGATGTGACTGCTTTTTTTGTAAAGCTACCTCTATTGTTCTGATTTCAACTAAAACTAACTTTAGTGCTCAATTGTGTTATTTTGTGCTGTTCAAAATACATCTCGTCTCAAAATAATTATTTATCAAAAATCATTTATTCAGTGCAGTAACAGTATAGAAGTATTTCAAAGGAATGATAACTCTTCTGAATACAAGCTTGTTCATTATTATTTCATCATGTGTTCACATATTGAATATAGCAATGAATTTGGATTAATCTTCGATTTAATTGAACTATGTGTTGACACTGTTGATACAGATTTAATAGATTGAGAATGTATTCTTTTGTTTTTATCACGTGAAATGCGTATTCAATGGTATGAATAAACAATAGAATACATTTCTGTTAATTTTTGATAATACAGAGTGTCCCAAAAGTCACCTACCAAAAAGAAAATTGCATATCTCCACTGTATTCTAACCAAATGAGCTGATTTTTTTTCTGATGATAGAGAAAACTTCCAAGTTTTTATTTATGCAGCAGCAGCTTATTAACACACTTGAAACCTAGCATTATCTACTTCAATACTGAATTTGCCTTTTTTCAAGATACTTCTATCAGTAATCG